TCTCTCTCTCTCTCTCTCTCCCTCTCTCTCCCTCTCTCTTTCCCACAGAACGGCACTTCTTCCTCTAACACTGTTCCGGTCTGCATAGGCCAAAGGACAAGCAAAATCAATGCATGTGTGTCTGCCTGTCTCAGAATCGACAATGAACAGCTTTTGTAATTTATTTCACTTGTACAGACAATGCAAGCACACATAACAATATATATAAAATATAACACAGAATGGGGGGTTGGGGGGGCCGATATCCGCCTGGGAGCGAAATCTACGGACAGATCTCGGGCATATGGGACACGGTCAAACAGCACGTTGGAGGTGGAGAAGATCGCTCTTTTTCTTTTTTTCTTTTTTTACTTTGTTTTTGTAAGTGTTTTACAGCGCTCGCAACTGCACAACGTCATTTGAACCCGGGCCCCAGTAAACTCTTTCAGTTTGGTGGGGAATTTTGAGTTTTTCCCGTGTGGCGGCCGAAGCCTACGCGTATCCATTTTGAACCACCAAGGGATCTTTAACGTGCGCAACTTGCACACAGGACCTCCGAGGTTTTTCGCCCCTATCTGAGAAGGCTAGATGTTAGATTCTACCTACCCTAAGATCAGGGGTGTCGCTGAATGACAGCAGTAAGAAGGAAATGTAGAGTAGCAGTAGAAAGGCAGCAGAAAGAGTAAGGAGCCCAGAGGAGTGGGGGGTGGGGGTGAGGGTGAGGGCAGAAAGATGAGACGAAAGTGGACGACACGACATGGTTAGAGAGCAGGAAAGGAGATGAACGGAGAAAATTTTTGAGAAGAAAATTGTCCGTCGCAGTCAGGTTTCGAACCCGGGTCCTCTTGAACGAGAGGCAAACAACGTAACTTCTAGACCGGACCACGAAAGCCACGGAAGATCGCTCAGAACAGAAACAGGTGGAAAGATCTTCTTGGCGCCCTATACCACTACCACGGTGAAGGATGAATACATAAGGGTGGGGGGGGGGAGAATGCCACAATGGGGAAGGTCTTGTCCCTTAAAACTTAATCATTACTTGATTATTTATACTGTGAGGAGAGTCGGGCTTCGTCAAAATGAAGACTATTTTCGAAAAAAAATTGTGATTATTGAGTCATTGCTTTTGTGTGTGTGTGTCTTTCAGATGTGACAGCGACGACCAACACTGAAAAACGAGCTAAAATTGACCAGTAAGACAGCCGCAGTGAAACGTTCAAGAGAAACAGACGTTCAGCACAGCATCTTGACATTTGTGGGACTTATATTCGAGCTACTGTTCAATGTACAGACGACATCAATACTTTTCTTGTCCTGAAGTCAGCGAAAAGCTCAGAAAACCCCAGTGCAGTTCTAGACATACAGGCCTACATCGTCGAAAAGCACTGAAGGAATCTTCCTTACACAAATAGGAAATGTTGGAGGTTTGAACCTACACAACGTCCAGGGCTGCAGAAATTAGACAAAGCTAGCTCGGGAAGAGTCAGTTGTTCCCATGTGCAGAGGCTTTTCTGTAGTTCGCAGTTGTCTTTATCCACAGGTACGTTCCCAGAAGCCCATTGGCGGGAAAGTCAATTGTTAATATTTCCTCTCCGATATCAAGTCCACTTCGACAAAGCTCGGGAGAAAGAAAATAAGTTTGACTGAAAATCAAGACTCGGATTAAAATAGACAGGCACGAAATGACTGGAGGGCTGAAAACTTCCTTCTTATTACCAAACATTGTTCAAAATGTCTCTCATCCCAAGATCCTAAACCTATCCACATATAGCGGAGCAAATGTTATTCCTCTACCATCCTTACCAAAAGCGGAATAAGCGTGAATCAATTCTGCCAATCCTGGATATGGATTCGTAAACTAGCTGGCACATTTCATCCTAACACAGACCACCCATTTTGCCAAGCTAAAACTTAAAGAAATGATGTTCGCGCTCAACACCACCGTCACCACTTTCCTCCATGCCGCCTTAGCGCAAACCAGCGCCGCCGTCCCCATCAATACTGGCTACAGTGCTTCTACAACAACCAGCACCGCCACAACAACCACCACCACCACCGCCACTCCGCCATCCTTCCCGTACTCTACCCCCTCGTCGGACACGCGCCAGAACTTCAGCGACGACTACAACCGGACAAACGACCTCCTGAACTGGATAGAAGATGCCAAAAGTGCGTTGGCGCCCTACATCCTCGTCTTCGGTATCGTGAACAATGTGCTGACTCTGCTCACCCTCCGCCAGCCCAAGCTGAAGGAATCCCCTTACACATACCTCACGGCCCTGGCTGTGGCTGACCTCTCCGCTCTCATACTCATCCTCATCCGGGAACAAGAAGGCCCCTCCTGGTCCTGGTCCATCTACACCATCTACATCTTCTACCCTCTGGTCAACGTGGCCGCCACCCTGGGAATCTGGGTCATGGTGCTCATGACCCTCGAGCGTTGCATCGTCATCCATTTCGCCTTCTGGGCGCACGCACACTGCACACGCTACAATGCCAGGGTCAAAGTCGTGGTGGTCTTCGTAGCCTCCGTCATCGTCAACTTCCCGCGCTTTCTCTGGTACTATGTCGGGGAACCTCCAGACACTGGTAAGACCGTCTATGATATCTATGCATGTATACAATAACATTACATTTCAGATGTTTTTATTCTAGTCTATAATCAATTTATTCATTGTCTAAATTATTAAGTCTAGTCTATAGTTCCTTCATTAAAATAGAAATTCTTTCTACACGATCTGTTATTTCTTCTCATATCTATAATTCAACTTTTCAAGTAGCTCTGCCATTATTGTTTTGTCAGGCCATGTCTATTCGTTTATTACTGTTTTATGGGTTTAGATTATGGGTTTTTTTCCCTTGTTTTGTTTTGTCCGAGCATCTAGGATGCAAATACGCGGTTTCATCCCTCGTGCCAAGGCCAGACCGGGCTTAGCAAGATAGAACATACCAGTACAGACAGAGCTACTCGATAAAATAAATTCTCAAGCTGGCAATCAAACACATTTTCTCCGAGACAAAAGCAAAGCGTCTAACCAGTTTAAAGTGTCCCAGCAACTGCATTTGTCGCTTCCTAATTGTTCTTATATCAAACTATATCTATCCCCCCCCCCCAAAAAAAAATCATTGTGATGCACCAACTCAGTGTTGTCACTTACGTTGCAGATACAAAGGCAGCAGCTGGAGACTCGGCCCAGGCCGCCAGAAACGTCTCAGTCCTCGCCAACATGGCCAACTCAACTGAGCAGAGCAACCATGGCAGCAGTCTCGCCAGCCTCCTGGGCCAGTACGTCATAACCAACTCTTCATCCACCGCAGAGACACCGGCTGTCACAGTCGCCACCACCAACAGCACCACCCTGGCGCAACCTAAGAAATACGTCATTCAGTCGTACTTGTACAACACCGAGTTTTCGCGCGTGGTCACGTGGGCGCACAGCGTGCTGCTCAACTTCCTCCCCGTTGTCCTCCTGCTCATCTTTAACTCGTTCCTCGTATACAAGTACAAAATGCGGAGCCAGCACGAGCGCCGGAAAAAGCTGGGCATCCACGACAATGCTGAGACGATGTGGACGCGCGAGCAGACGCGACTCACCGTCACCCTCATCGCTATCGTCTGCCTCTTCATCATCCTCGTCCTGCCGTCTGCGTTTGCAGACCAGCACGTCGCCATCTTGTTTTTCCCTACCGACAGCGAGAAAAAGAACTTGAAACAGATCAGGATCTACCAACACGTGACAAACTTCCTCATGTGGTTGAACCTGTCTCTGAACTTCCTCATGTACAGTTTCATAAACGCCAAGTTTAGGCGCGCTTTTAAGCGAATGGTCAGGCAGTGGGTGATTTACCTTCGCCTGGACCGTCTGACGTACGTCTGCAGGAGACACTGCTGTCGTCTGAGCAGCGGCAAGGGCTCCCAGGGACAGTCCACGTGCGACATGGAGGAAGCGGAGGAGATGGCGCCCTTTAACAACAACTGGAACAACAGGAAAGGGCACAACGCAAAGAAGGCGTCAAACTATTCTGTGTCCAGTAAGGATAACAATAGCGTCACTTTGTCGTTGAAATTAGACACTTCTGTGAACGGGCAACTTGCGTAGTCTTGTAGTAAAGGAAAATTGTATGTACAATCGAGAATGCTTTAGCCATAGGCTGTTGTGAACGTGTATGTGATATGAGAGGAAACTGTTTTCAGGCATGACACTGATGGTGCCGGTGACGTATCATTCATATACGCCCCCTCCCCGCCCCCTCCCCGCCCCCTCCCCGCCCCAGGTTTTTCCACAAATCCACCAAAGAAAGTTCACGCGAGACCATTGAAAGTGTTCCAGTGCTGTATAGAAATAGGCTGGAAATCGAGCTGCAGGATAAACAAAACCTTGTGGCTACCATTGCCAGCTCTCCGCGGTTTTGTTCGTTCTTCAAGACAGGTCAAATAACGTCATAACAGTAGGCAAAGCTTCCAGCCTTGCCATTCAAAACTGCAACAGGCAAACGGAGGAGGGGTGATTCTTTTATCAGCACAACTACAGCGGCTCGAGCTCAAACAGGAAAGGTTTTCTTTTGTCGTTAAAGGGAAAGACCGACGTCAAATAACAGCAAAGAAAGGCTCGCTTCTTGTTTGTTTGCTCGTTTGATTAAAGAGAAGAACGTGGTCATTTAGGGCAGGGGAAAAGTAAGACAGAAACAACAGACGGCAAGTAAAAAAAGGAGTACCTACCAGGGGCACCCTCCAACTACCCACTCGCTTCTTGCTTCAAACAGCAAAGAAGCCAACCCCTCCCCTCACCCTCCACCCCCCCCCCCCACACACACACAACACACAAGAAAAAAAAACCCAGAGTGTCAAAGCAACAATCACCAGCGCAGGAGACGCCACCACGAAAGAGTTTCACAACATGTCAAGCTTTTTCGAATGTAATTCTTTGAATATCTTGTCAACGACTCCGGATATTCTTCCAATTTGATAGAGCAGATAGAACAATTTGGTTCCTGACATCATGACCTTAGTGACGCAAAACGGTCAGAAACGTCAGATAGAACATTGCAATTCTAAGGTAGCGAATTGGGCAGGTGCGTCAGTGTTTCTCTGTCTCTGAAACAGTCTGTCAGCCATGTCAAAACACCCCCCCCCCCCCAAGAAAAAAAAACAGAAAAAAAGAAAAATCTAGATCTGATGCGAGCCAACTATCGTTCCCACATCGTTAGGTAGCACCTTGATGTACTACTATCCACTTCAAAGGCAGTGTTGTTAAGACTTGCCTTCCCTTTAAAGTATAAACGCATCTCCTAAAACAATATCTGCTGTCAAGATCTACTCGTAGGTTCACATGGATAACTTAACTAATAAAATTACTATGTTTATTTAGAATTCACTGAGTGCTCCGATCATTTCAGATTGGATCTACGGCTATCTTTCTAGGTACAAAAGTTATCTACATATAATCTTTTCAGCACAGGGGAAGATTTCTAAAAGATGACATACGTACGAATGATCGATTGAATCTTTTTCCTTTGTTTATCTAATTGCCAAAAACATTTATTTTTAGCCCCTGAAAGCCACGAAAAAGGTGGTGAGTCCAAGTTTTCCGACACGATTTCCATCACTTTATCTTTAATCTCTTTCACGACAAATGGAGACCAGAAGTTTGCTCGACAGCGGTAGATGACCACGAGTGCGTGTCTCATTAAGACCACGAGTGCGTGTCTCATTAATTCACCACACCATGCCAGATATTTGTTCAATTCCACATAATAAACAGAACTCACGATAGGATTGGGTTGTTTTTTTCTCGATACGATACAATCTACCGATTCATTCGAAGGCTTCAATGAAACAAAGCGTGCTAGGGGGAAAAGGGGGAAAGGAGGGGGGGGGGGGGAATCCTTAATCATTTCTCATTTGGTTTTGGAGTTGGTTAGTGGTATTACAACACTAATGAAAAATGCCCAGTTGAGTTTAATAAGAGATATAAATGCGCGATGCGTGTGTGTATGCGAGTTGTGTTGAGTGTGTGAGTGTGCGTGTGTGCGTGTGTGTGTGTGTGCGTGTGTGTGTGTGTGTGTGTGTGTGTGTGTGTGTGTGTGTGTGTGTGATGGTGTGTGTGTGATGGTGTGTGTGTGTGGGAAGGGGGGGGTATCAAGAGGGATTTTGCCTCTGGAGCACACCACTGGTGTGTTTTACTCATTATAACGGGCCAAACACGACAATCAACTGGCTTAAGTCAGTAAGTTCGAAGTTGCTTTTATTGTTCATTCCTTGATTGTATGTTCTACACAAAAATGCCAGTATGTGCGTGTGTATGTCTGTGTGTGTGCGTGAGTGTGTGTGTGTGCGCGTGTGTGTGTGTGTGTGTGTGTGTGAGAGAGGAAAGAGAGAGAGAGAGAGAGAGAGAGAGAGAGAGAGAGAGAGAGAGAGAAAGAGAGAGAAAGAGAGAGAGAGAGAGAGAGAGAGAGAGAGAGAGAATAAGCAGAATGCAGTGATAGGTATCACATCTTAAGTGGCATGTTATTTGATAATGTTATATTATTATTAAAATGTGTAATCATTGAAATTAAATAGATGTACATGTCTCTGCGAATATAAAGACTACAGCACTTTAACTCTGTTGATGTACATGAGTCTTATTTGGTGTTTACCATTGGTAATTGTGTCATCTATTTTACTACAAAGGTGATTTCGCTTGGGATGAAATATGAAAGTATTATTTGTTCGTGTTTCAGATTCAAATGGTGTATTTCTTATTCGTTTAAATCATTATCGTATTTATTCGCTCGTCCATTCCTTCATTCGCATCATAATGTTATTCTTCAATGTGCATAAAATTTATGGTTTCTGTATTCGCCCAAAAATATTCCCTGCCATATTGGTTCTTCGTCTGCAGAGCTGGCTGCTTGTACTTTTTGCTTTTCATAGTTGAGCTTGTGAATTGGGAAGATAAGTTGTAATTCGTTGCACTTTGCGAGCTAACAGATGACCAGGATATAGCGTGAACTCAGCACGTTACAAAGGGCATAACGGGTGTAATATTGTAGTTCGTTTTGTTTGTTAGAGTGAAGAGAAGTAAATTAACACGATTATGATTACTAAGCGGTGGAAAAAAAATAAGACAGACAGACTGAAACAACAGAGGGAAAGTAAAGAAGTAGGACTTACCAGTGGCGCCCTCCAACCACCCGCGTAGTAATGCAGGACGATAATAACAGATGAATAGATGGGCTGGTGGAAACAAGGCAGGGCGGGTGAATAAGTCTGAGGTCTTTCCAACGGTAGGATGCGAACCCCCATCTTTTACGCCGTAGTATAACTATCGGGTCAAGCCATGTTGTTGGGCTGCTGCTGTCTTCAGGCGCGACCTTTCAATTTTGTCGCGTGGACGAATACAAATAGAACGGTGACCCTATTGTCCCTAGCTGAATGCAATCGTGATTTTTTAAAAGGATTTCGTTGTCACGGAGAGATGATGGAACGTGAGGGGGGCGGGTGGAGGAAAGGTTAAGCCCTTTTCACTACATATTGGTAGACTGCAGGGACATTGGTGTAAAGCGGAGACGGGGGGGGGGGGGGGGGGGGGGGCACAGAGATACACCAATCGTAACATTTAAAGCATTAGATAGAATAAACAAAAGGCAAGGGCACGTCGGTTTGGAATCAATGAGGATCGCCTGATTAGAAGATCTATAGGTCTATAGATTATCAAAATAACGGAGGTGGTATTTGATGGCTTTTACCGAGTAAACGGCAACTGTGAATTGAAAGATGTAAAATAAAATATGTGACGACCTAGAAAAGAAGTTGGATAATCAGATGAGTGGTTGGCAAGATAAAACTATAAGTAAGAATGTAAATGAATGAATGGAAAGACTGATGGGTGCGCCACAGGATGGGTGCGCCATAGGATGGGGACGGGTGGACTAATGAAAGGTTGGATGGATGAACGGAAGGATGGATGGGAGGATGGATGGATCAATGGATCGATGGATGGATCAATGGATCAATGGATGGAGACCGAACGCAGAAAGCGAATAGCATGAGACGCAATATTATGATTATTCACAAGCCGGACGAGTCAGCTGAATGTTCGGTTCACACGTACATTGTTATTATTAGCTCTTCTGAGCTGAGATTGATTGATCGCCGTCTTCTGAGTTGGTCTTTTGTTTGATCTTTGTGCATTTTTCTAGTCTTCATTTTTCTTATTTTTAGTAGGAGGAGAGTGACGTGGTGGGTGTGAACGCTGATGAACGCTGATGTGATGTTACTTTGCTGATTGACACTGTAATTTGTTCTTTGGCAGTTGGGTATCCCAGGAGTGGCAAGAGGAAACCTGTCAAGCGTACATTGTTATCTCTAGAACGCTGTTTTTATATATTTGCAATGTGATCTGTAAAAAGACAGGTCTACTGGTGAAACGCATGACAAGTGTATCATGTAGATGTTATACACACTATATATATATATATATTAT